CCCTTACTTCTGAAGTGAGTCTCTTCCAGGCAGCATTTAAGGGTCTTATGTATCCATGATGCTCATACTGTTGCTCTTTTATTCCTTCACTCGTGGGTGGAGCTAAATTGGGCACTGGCATGGTAGGGGAGCCTATTCCTACATTCGATGAACAATGAGGAGCCCTTAAAGGTTTTGAGCCAGTGAGCAACATGGTCAGCCCCTGAAGCATGGCAGGAGTCCGGAGTTGGGGGTGAGGGGGGAGTGGAGATCTGGGTGACCTCCAGCAGGCGCCGGGACATATAGATCGGGAGCCCAGGAGGGAAGATGGGGTGCTACCTCCACATCCAGGAGTCACCTTTCCAGCTGAAGCTGCGAAGACAGATCAGCACCAAGAGGTGGGGATGACAGCAGGCACTCTGCAGTGACCAGGAAGGAAGTGCAGCTGGTGGGGAGAGCCAAAGGGAGTCCCCCATGAGCGGCCTGAAGGGCGGAGAAATGGAAGCCAAGAAAGGGAGCAAGAGAGGGAGCTGCGCCTGCCCAGGGAGAGTGACGACTTCGGGGAGGCCAGGGGTCTGCAGACAAGGCACCACCTGCCACGCCTCCCAGACAGCCTGCTGTCATCCTGCCCTTCCGCCAGGCCCCTGCTGATCCATGTTGATTGCGCCTCTGCACCCATCGGTTGCACTTATTCTGTTCCAGTGTCCCTTGCCTTTCCCTTAGTCATCCTTCTTCTGGACAATCCCACTGTGACACCAAATACCTGGCCTCCTCTGCGTCCCTTCTCCACTCCACCCCGTCTGCTGCTGCCAGATGACTCTTCCCGAAGCTGAGCCCAGTCACGATGTCCTCTGCAGGAAGACCCCAATGGCTCCCCGTTGCCTATTAAAGGTCAGGCTCCTTGTGACAGCAGCCAAGCTCTTATCTACAGCTTGTCACCACCACGGAGACATGTCTTCATGTTCCTGGGAGCAGTACTAGCCGGGCTCTACTGCCACCCAGTGGTCATCTCTCTCGTGCAACACTGGGCTTCGAAAGAGCCCGGATGCTAGCACTTGTCTCTTTCTGGGTATAGATTACTACGTTTGCGGATTTCCAGCCAGCAGCACATTACTGAATGCAAAGCTGGGAAGGGATGCAGACCATCCACTCCAGGGGCTGTGCGGGCGCGGCTCCAGCCCACCACTGGTGGGGACAGAGCCACGAACGATGGGCCAGCTTGGCAATGGTATCAGTTACTGTTCCACTTCTGATAGACTAACTGGAACTTAAGAAAACACAATCAGCTCGGAGGGTCTATGGCCGATCTGACAGGGCTTTTTGCCGCGACCCCTTTGGGGGTCGAACGGCCCTTTCACAGGGGCCGCCTAAGACCATCAGAAAACACATATATAATTACATATTGTTTTTGTGATTAATCACTATGCTTTAATTATGTTCAATTTGTAACAATGAAAATACATCCTGCCTATCAGATATTTACATTACGATTCATAACAGTAGCAAAATTCCAGTTATGACGTAGCCACGAAAATAATTTTATGGTTGGGGGTCACCACAACATGAGGAACTGTCTTAAAGGGCCGCGGCATTAGGAAGGTTGAGAACCACTGGCCTATGGGAAGGGCTGGGGTTAAGGAAGTCCCTCCAGGAGCTCTATGCCCACGTGGGGCTCTCTGGTTCTAATTTCCCTTTCCTTAACTTCCTCTTCTCGTGGCTAAACACCCCTCCATTGTGGCATGTAATCCAGAGTGTGCCGTGGCTTGCCATGTCTGCGTGCACTGGGTTGCAACCCTTGCTTTTCCCTGAATAAAGCCTCTTGGTGAGGAAACACCTAGTCAACACTAACTTTCAGCGGGCACTTCCATGGCAGCCTCTGCTACATCTCGGTGGGCGAGGCCGCGTTGCCTCAAGGAAGTCTGGTCTTCCCGGGTGGCCTTGTGTCCGGCTGCAGGCCTGGAAGGGTGAGAACCCCACTTACACTTGCCTTTCCCCACAGCACAGGCACAGCGCTCGGCTCACGGGAGGAACCAGGTTTGGTGGCAGACTGACTTTGTGGGGCAGGCAGGGGACCATCTGCTGAATGCATGCACGTTCACTGGGAGCAGACGGGCCTCCCATACCTGCCCCCACCCCCCACGTGGAAGCAACCACAAGCCACAAGTCTGCTTTGAGAAGCACAAGATTGGTCTTCAGTAAATTGCCAAGCGGTAAGTGTATCTCCAGCCTTCCTCACCCTCTGATCGGCCCCCTTCCCACCTCCTGGTACTTGCCATGGGTGCCCAGGCCCTCAGTGAAGTAGGTGCTCTGGCCTCCAGAACCACGTGGAGAATCGAGAGTTGTCCTGGCTTCTGGAGGGGTCTGAGACACCCTAGCCCCAGCCCTGCTCCCTCCCCAGAAAAGGGTCGGTTCTCTGGTGTACGCAGTGACCTTTAGGAAGCGTGTGTGGATCCCGGCCACCCCCCTGCCTTCCACTCAGAGGGACTCTGACCCTCCACGGAGGGGTCATCAGTGTGCATGTGAGAGAAACAGGCATGAGCATTCCGTGCACAGGGCCTGTCACCCTCATGCTCCCACACTAGGGAGAACAGCTGCCACACACTGTGCAGGGTGGGCACTGCCAGGACGCAATGACATGACCTCTGGCTGGCCACCAGGACATTCAGCTTCCATCTAGATAAAAGGGTGGAAAGGGACCGTTCTGTCAGCACCACAGACCCTGGTCCTTAGTGCACGAGACTGGCATGGGCACACCCCATAGATTCGTTTCTGCTCTCCACCCACTTTCCTCACACTCCGGGACTCCCACACTGAGCCCACAACACTTCAAAGACCAAGGCTTTATTTGTCTCTAGCTCCAGTGTTACAACTGTAGCAGCACATCAGAACCCCCCCACATGAACACACATTTCTCCCCTTCAAACAGCGGGCAACAATTGAGGCAGGAACTATGATATTTACTACAGTAAACACGCTTATAACATTCATTGTCTAGCCGGTAGGAAGCAGCAGTACCTTCGCCTTTAACAGGCACAATCGTCCTTAAATAAAGTTACTGGCATAACGAAGTGTTGGAGATGCAGCCTTCAGGGCACAGGGCTGGGATTAAGACATCAGCATTAAAGAAGGAAAGAAAAAGAAACCATACAAAAGGATGTTGGCCAGTAAATACCTAGATCTCATCCAAAATTTTAAAAACATAGTCATGGACTGGATTGTTACCCATTTGAAAAAAAATCCATGTTTTATTCAAAAAATAGAACTGATGAACAAGTGGGTGAATCTCCAATCAAGGCCTGACACACACATGCGCACACTCGCTCAGAGCTGTGCGTTGTACGAAGAGGCATTGGCTGCCTGCAGGTGTCACTCCAAAGGCACTACCAACCAAGTGCAGGCCAGTTATGCTGAGCGGCCATCATGGGGGCGGGGAGGACACTTTCCTAGTTAGCCCTTCACAACCACAAAGTCATGATCAACAAGGGGACTGCTGTCGGCACAAGGCAACAGCACAAACTTCGGAGCTCAGGACGAGCCAGGGAATTAACTCCCACAAAATAAGCGATCACTTGTCTATGTGTAAGTGCTCATGCAGCCCCAGGGAAACCCGGTGGGGAAGGCAGGACAGGTGGCATCGCCCCCACTTCTATGCGATCCACTACACAGTGGGGATCAGACCTCCCACCGGAGCCCAGAGCTCTGAACTCTCCTACCCTAAGGGGTTTTCCCAGAGAAGTAAACAGCTTCTTCTCTGAATAATAGCAAAAACAAAATCCTGTAAGGAATAAGAAACATTGTGCAACAATGTGGTGAGTATGAGTGGACAAAAGGGGAGGTTGGGTAATTATTTTAGAATTCGATGTTTTTTCCATTCACAGAATTTAACAGAACACTGAACATGTTTAGAGAGTCGTAAACACTTGCCACAGCAACATGGTCTCCATGGGCTTTTGCACCCCAGGGGGGCAGATGCTGGTTAACCCCGAGCTGGGACAGGCCAGCAGCTGACCCCACCCAGGAGGATGGCCCACACATGGGAGCTGCCAGCGCCCTCTCCTGTCCCTCATCTGAGATTCCCAGCACGAGTGTCCCAAGATGAAAACTGTCCGAGCGCCACCTGGGTTCTTCCCAGGAAGTTATAGGAGCCGGGTCTGCGCCTCAGTGAGCGGCGCAGCACTGACTGCCTGAGGCCAAGGGCCAAGGGCCGAGGCTGGACCAGGCCTGCAGGAATGAAGCACACTTGTGCTCTGCTCCCTTTAAAAAAGCCGGGCTCTGAAAGGAGGCCATCAGCTCATCCCTTGCAAGTCTGGCAGCCAATGGAGAGCCGTGGCCAGAGGAACAGGCCCGCCCTCTCTCCGTGATAATCTAGCCCAGACACACCATCGCAGAGAACAAGGTAGTTAGGCCTCGTGTTCTCCACTGATGAGGACCTACGGGGCATGAAGGAGGCTCCGGAGGCACCCGGCCTTGTGCCTGAGGGTCTGGGACTTGCTTTGCAGCCAGCCGGCTGGAGGGCCTGCCGCCTGTCACTGCGATGAGAGAAATGCCATATACTTGCTATGTGTTTTCAAATTCCTAAATCTGCACCGGGAAACAGATCAGGAAATTTAGTCAAAGCACAAACAAGAACACCAGAGGCGCCTGGGTTACCAGGGGGGTGTGGAAAGAAGTCCAAGGAAATGGTGGGACTAATCCCAGCTGGTAACCAGACGCTGGCATTTCACGGGCTTCCAAGTGCTGGCCCAGGGAGGCGCACGCTCTGTCCCCGGGAAGGAGCCTAGTCATTCTAATTCTGCTGGGGCCACTGTCCTGCAGGTGGTCCTGTCACCAGCACATGTGTGCGCCCACAGCAAAAGAGAATGTCCCAGGGCCGGTCTCTGGTCCTGGGATTTTAAGGAAAGACAAAGGGTAAAGGCACATGAAGGGAATGAACGAATGAAAGGAAAAAAAATAGCCGAAAGATACATATTATTTGTGTGTTTTTTCAATGTACCTCCCCCCAACCCGCATAAAAAGAGAAATTCAAAAATATAAACATATTTATTATTTTACATTCAAGTGAAACTCCCATCTGGGGGCTCAACACAACTCTAGGCCACATTTAGCAATTTATTACTTGGGTGCCTTTTTACCTAACCCAATGGAAGAATTCCACCCTCCATTTTTTAAAATCAGCTTTGTATTCCTAGCTGTCACACTTATCCAACCACACACAGGCACACACACACACACACAAATCCAAAAACCTCTACGTAGAAAAATAAAGAATAAACATTACCCATCCATTTTATACTGTGTACTAGAACTTTTATATACATAATGTGCTCTTTCTGCGTTCATGGTTTTCAGTCATGCACTTTCTTCCCCACTGTGTGACCTATGATTCGAGGGGCGGGGCCTGCCACAGTGAAGCAGGGAAGCTACATTCCTCGTAGGGGAGGAAATAGAAAGCAATTTCTCGCTTTCCTTCCAAAGTCTTTCCCCCCCTGCCACCACCTCGGATGTCCCTGTGGACGGCCTCTGGTAGGCGGCTGTCCCATCCTCTCCTCTCTCCAAGGCGTCAGGGAACGGAAGGCCCCCCCCTGAGAACACCCTGCAAAAATAATCCCGCTGTGAGGGCGCGGGAAGGGAAGCAGGCAGGGAAAACCTTTTAAAAATACAAGATTCTGGAATCGCTGCCCACAGCCTGTTCCTTTAGTACGGAGTTCGATTCTCCAGCTTGTGCTTGGTGAGGAAGTACTTGAAAAATTCGTAGACAGACCAGGAGATGGCAGTGGAGGGCATCTGGTAGATGATGCGGGCGTGCATGCCCTTGAAGTAGCCGGGCAGGCCATTGAGCCGGTACACCGTCCGGAAGGCGTTGGCCATGCCCGTGAGCCGGCCGCTGATGTTGGCCAGGCTGAGGGCCATGTTCTCCTGAGTGTTGAGAAGGGTCTTACAGACGTCCAGGGGGGTGGTGGCGGCCGCGGCCAGGGCCCCGGCCAGCCCGCCGGAGAGGATGTGGGACTGTGGGTTGTAGCCCCGGTGGGGGTTGACCTGTTCCTGCAGGAACTCGTAGGTGATGAAGTGGATGGACTGGAAGGGAATGTTCATGGTCAGCTGCGTGGTATAGCTCCGGTAGAAGGCCCGCAGGCCCTCAGTCCTCCAAACCGTCCGGATGCAGCCGAGGGCCGACCGGTGTGGCGAGTTGTACATCTGCATGCGCTGTTTCACAACTGTAGGTGGGCCGCAGGGTGTGGTGGACAGGCAGGCAGGGGGCAGTGGGTTGGTTTGGCCCCACCCCGGGTCAGAGTGCAATGGGAAGCCAAGCCATAAAGAAAAACAAGCAAGTTTAGACACGCTGGTAACAGGTCAGAGCGCGCACACAGCCCCAGCCGGAGACCACGGAGGGCCAGCTGCAGGCGGGCCGCGCTCCCACCCCAAACCTGAACCCTGCCCTTGGCCCTCCGGCCCTCGTCTTCACCTCCTGGACACATGTCCCGTCTCTCCTTTCCTGGTCTGTCTGACAGTGTCATTAGCTTCTGTGTCACAGTGCTCTGGGAAGACTCTAGAGCAGTGATGGCGAACCTTTTGAGCTCGGCGTGTCAGCATTTTGAAAAACCCTAACTTAACTCTGGTGCCGTGTCACATATAGAAATTTTTCGATATTTGCAACCATAGTAAAACAAAGACTTACGTTTTTGATATTTATTTTATATATTTAAATGCCATTTAACAAAGAAAAATACACCACAAAAATGAGTTCGCGTGTCACCTCTGACACGCGTGTCCTAGGTTCGCCATCACTGCTCTGGAATTATGCCAGCCCACTTCACTGACAACCTCCAGTGAAGGCCCCTGCTTGGTTCATACAAAAGTAACTGCGGGTCAAAGGCCACGAGGCAAATGAGGGCGCACTGTGGTCCCTTAGGCTTGGGGTTGTAGTCATCCCCACCCATTGCCCAAATGAACACACAGTGTGCTTTTCTTTATTGTTGAAGGAATAAAGTCCGTCAATCAACATGATGTCAAGAAGAGGTGGGGGTTGACACTGGTTTTCTGCTCCTTTGAGAAGCGAACAATTCTCGCCTGGTTGGCATGCGCTAGCTGGTCACTGACCAGGCCTCCACATGATCGCCTTAAACTCACACAGAGAAACCCACCTTCCAGTCGGGGCCGTCATGTCCCTGAAGGACAGAACAAGTCCCTGTCTGCTAGGTCCGGGGAAGCAGCTGACTATAAGTAAGAAATTTTAACCTTAAAAAACAAACTTGTAAGACAAGATTTAAAATGTTGACATTTCTCCCTTCTGGAAAGGGGTGGTTTTATGGGGGAGAAAGGGGGAGAGAGCCCCTCCTCTCGCGGAGCCTAACCCAGCAGAGAGCAGGCCCAGCACCAGGCCCCAACGCTCCCTGTTACTCCGACCAGTCGGCTAGGGCCACTGGGACACAGAAAAGGCTGACTGGAGTCTGCACAGCTGAGAGCTGTTGCTCAATGCTCCCAAAATTCAAAAGGAAAAAGAGGTATGTGGGAGGAGATAGCTAAGCTAAAACAAAACGGCCAGATGTTCGCTTATGAACTCGAGTGATGCATACATGGGATTCAGAATACTCTCATCTCTACTCATGTGCTCATGTTTGAAATGCTCCATGATGATTTCAACTTCCTTTTAAAAAAGCAAATTGAACATAAGCCTCCATGAAGGGCCTTTGACAGCCACCCCCACCCCCAAATGTGTCTAAGGCTGAGAAAGGTTGACAAGGGCCAGAGGGCGTGTGTGTGTGTGTGTATGTGTGTGTGTGTGTGTACAAAGATTTCAGACTAGTGCAAAAGGCACACCAGGAGGGCTTGTTAAAACAAATTCCCTGCTCCTACCCCCAGGTTCTGATAGAGTAGATGCGGATGGGATCTAAAAATTTGCATTTCTAATACGCTCCCAGGAGATGCTGATGGCTGCTACTCCCCAGATCACACCCCTGAGTAGCTCTGTTTAAGAGAACAGGAATACCAGAAGCTCAAAAACTAGTGCCCCTTCTTGAGGCCTTTACTAAAATGTGGTAAAAAAAAAAAAAAAAAGTATGTTCTTATTCTGCCTGGGGACCAGGAGTCCCCTTGCCCGACCTTCTGCCCCCATCCCCGCCACCGCTTTTCCTGCCCCTCTGACATCCCACTGCCACTCCCTGGGACCAGGAGACATTACCTTCTGCCGGGTTCATTACTGCATCGTGGAGCAGGGTGGCCATACTCCCAGCTATCCCTGCAAAACAAACTCCAGAAAATTACCCTCTGGGACCAGGCGCTCTGAGAAAGTTCCTGGAGCCTAAAATCAGACGGAGCCCTGGGCACAGCTTTCTAAGAAGCAAAATTCACTACCAACTCCACCCAGCTGCGTGCTGACTCTTAAAGCCTTAACGTAATCGTGGAAATACTAGAGAACAATGGGGAAGGAAGGTAAGAGGCACAGGTACCCAGGTTTTCATCCTGTAGAAACTCATTTTCTCTCTGGCAGTCAATCCTGGGCAAAGGTTAGACCTGCTAACGCTGGATGGTACCCAGAAAACACCTCGTGGCTTCTCCCACTGTCTAGGTTTTAATGCTAGCTTGTCCCTCGCCTCATCTACCCATGAACTCCCTCTGCACATACGCTGGGGCAATCAGAGGGAACGACACCATGCACACGGCTGAGAGGCAGGAAACTCCAGGAAAGAAATCTTTAAGAAAATGCCTTAATAAGACCTAGGGCAGTGGTCGGCAAACTCATTAGTCAACAGAACCAAATATCAACAGTACAACGACTGGAATTTCTTTTGAGAGCCAAATTGTTTAAACTTAAACTATATAGGTAGGTACATTGTTATTAACTTAATTAGGGTACCCCTAAGGCTTAGGAAGAGCCACACTCAAGGGGCCAAAGAGCCGCATGTGGCTCTCGAGCCGCAGTTTGCCGACCACGGACCTAGGCAATAGAGCTTGGGAAGAGGACGTCAGGAAGGCCTGCCCCTGGTGGATTTTCAGGGTTAATTTGCAAAGATATGACTTGTCTCGGAGAGGGCCAATCATCCGGCTTCAAAAACCAGGAGTTTCAAAATCCTGGTTCAGGCCTGGGACTTTGCTTTTGGATTTGGGCTTCCTCCCTCTGTGGGTCACATGCCCAGTGATGAGGATGACTGCTGGAAGGTGAAAGGAATGAGGGACCCCAGGGTAAGGCTTCAGAAATATATGCCCACTCCCTCCCTCCACACACACTGCTGACTCTCCCCAGAAAGGTCAAAGTGCAATCAACCAGAGCACACACCACAGTGAAGCAGGCACAGCTGGGCAGGCCCTGGCATAAACTGGGCACCGGTTGGCATAACTTGGCATAAACTGGGCACCATCAAACCACAGTCGAGGGGTCCAGTGACCAAGGAGCTACACCATTACTTAGGCAGTTTCAGCAAAAGGAGAGCCTTGAACTCAGGGATGGCCTCAGAGGAGGCTCTTAGTGACCATCTCAAGAAACGCAACTCATGCCCAATTTTTAAAAAGCAAAACAAATGTCTGCACACCAGCCGGATACAGTTATTACTACCAAGGTTGACTGATGGGAAGGACACTTCGGGTTCTGCACAGAAAAGAGAAGGGGAAAAAACTGTTGCCGGTCACATCTACCTCTCCATTGTTGAACAATTAATTTTGTTAAATTAAGAGCACCGTGCACTGCCATCCACAGTCCCATTCCATACCCACACAGGAACCAAACGAGCCAAACCCCACAGGAGAAGCAAAACCACCCCTCAGTGGGCCCGGTAAGGCATGTCTAGGTAAGAGCTGCCCTCCAAACCCAAGCCCCCACCCAACTCCCCAACAACAAAAGAGAACTATTCCAGCCCTTGATCGCAGAGAGATGCCACTCAAACAAACAGAAGAGAGTGGGGGTGAAATTCCCAAACCCCCAGAAGCTTAAGGTGGGAAAGGCCGTCTGCGCTGGAGCAAATCCTTTGTCAGCCATAAAACTTCTTGACCTTTTAAAGCTTAGTTACATCTTGACGTTGCAGAGACCTGTTGAACCAGTTTTTAAATAGTCTCAAAGAAGCTGTCCAGACAACTTTTTTTTTTTTTTTTTGGAATCCAGCATTCAAAAGTTTTGTGTCTATTCGGGGTGTGTTTCCTAGATCTGATCATGAATGGCTTTTGAATGTGTCAAAAACAAAAACAAAACAAAAAAGTGAAAAGCCCACACAACAATGAAAACGGAAACACCTCTGTCACCAATCTCCCCAGCCTTCAGAAAGCGAAGAAGGGGAACGGGAAAAAGCATGTGTGCACGTGTGCGTGTGCTTGGGGGTGCGCGCGCACACGCACGGCGCTAGAGTTCTTTATTCACAAGCAAGCGTGGCGGAGACGAGGCCTCAGGCTGCTGGGTCACAGGGAGAACCCTGGGGAAGGGTCTGTTGAGGACAGAACTTTCTAACTGCAGACAAACGCTTTCAAATACCATTGGCTATGTGGCTGTTTCCGTGGTGGTGGAAAACGGCATTTAAAGTCCTTTTCATTTTCTCATAGCAGCCAAAATACATGGCATGGGCCGGCCCTGCGCCCATGACCATCACGTTGAGCCCTCGCAAGGGCCTCCAGAAGCCTTCAGTCCGTACGATTTTCTTGAGGGCTCCGTAGATGCTTGTGTACTGGGCTTTGGGATCTGGATTCAAACTCTGCATTCGTGTCTGGGGGAGGGCAACAAAACAAGAAAAGAGGGGCATTAGTGAGGGCCGACAAGAGGGACCCAGAGAGAGTGAGAGAAAACAGTCCATTTTCATCGTTTCACAGAATCTCTTGGTGAAGAAAACACGGGTTCTCTCCTTCCTGGATTGCTCAGTGCTCATCTCTCCTCCCTCCCAGACATCTACACATTCACATGGATTTCATTACACCCGGCCAAGGGGGTAAGGATGAGAGACAGGAGTTAAGACTAGGAAGACCTGCCCTGCCACTGGCAAGCCGTGTGACCTTTGACGCGTCCCTTAACCTCTTGGGGCTTGGGAATCCTTTATTAAAAAAAAAAAAATAGCCCTGGCCAGTGTGGCTCAGTTGGTTGAGCATCATCCCATGCACCGAGAGGTCGCTGGATCAATTCCCCATCAGGGTACATGCCAGGGTTGCTGCCAGCTCGATCCCCAATAGGGAGTGTGTAGAAGGCAGCCAATTGATGTTTCTCTCTCATCGATGTTTCTGTCTGCCTCTCCCTGCCTCTCTCTCTAAAATAAATAAAAAATATATATTTTTAAAATAGTCATGGGAATATAAAGTACAGCATAGGGAATAGAGTCAATAATATTGTAACAGCCCAGCTGGAGTGGCTCAGTGGTTGAGCGTCAACCTATGAACCAGGAGGTCACGGTTCAATTCCTGGTCTGGCACATGCTGTGGTCGTGGGTTCGATTCCAGTAGGGGTCATGCAGGAGGCAACCGATCAATGACGTTTCTCTCTCATCACTGATGTTTTAACCCTCTCTTCCTCTCTCCTTCTCTTTTCTGAAATCAATAAAATTATATGCTTAAATAATAATATTGTATTAACTATGTAAGGTGCCAGGTGGGTACTAGAATTATCAGGGAGAACAATTCATCCGATCTAATAATAGACAAACATGGTAATTAACCATACCTCCGACAGGCTTCCCATTGGCTAATCAGCGAGATATGCAAATTAACTGCCAACCAAGATGGCGGCCAGCAGCCAGGCAGCTGAAACGAACAGGAGGCTTGCTTGCTCCAGTGATGGAGGAAGCCAAGGTTCCCCGCCTGCCACTG